ATGCATATATAAGGTGTATATATGCATATACACCTTATCTTACCTTACCTTAAATTATAAATATAATTAGTTATGAGAGATATTGTAAAGAATGAAATGAAAATGATATTCAAAAAATATCCTAAAAATCATTCATCTTATATTATCCCTTAAAATTACGCATATTAAATTGAATATTTTGTAGAATTAAAAATGAAAGAAATTTTTGCTTTTCTTTAACAGAAATTTGTTTGCAATTAAATTTCTTTGTCTTTTTAAATTAAAAATAATACAAAAAAAATCACATTCAATTGATTTTGATTTTAGTGAATCTTTTGTATTCTTTTACCAATAAATTTCAATATATTTCATTAAAAATAGAAAATATAAATGAATTAATATATACTGATCGATCAATCAATCGATATGGATTACAATTCAATAATGTATCAACTAATGTAATGCTTTATTTAAGTAGGAAATGAAAAGAGAAATAGAAGAATGAAGAACTTACCATTGCTGCTCGATTTGCTGAAACTGAAGTAAGAAAGCTGTGATAGGAGTAGTGGTGGATGAAGAAAAAGCTTTGTAAATTTAATGCTTACAGCTTCTTCATCATCGTCATCATCTCCAGTTGTTCCTCAACATATTCTCTAACGCCTACTCGGTGCTTTCGGGACAACTGTTCACTGCTCTATTACTAATGCTAAGAGCCTATGTGTAAAGTACTGATATTACATGATTATAACTTTATCCTGTCTTCCTCCAGATATCCTTCACTATCACAGAATAGCAAATTCTTTTGGTAAATTTTCAGGCATACATTTCAATGATTATTTATAAATTTCTTGAAAGTAAAAAATAAATAAATAAACAAGAAATATAGCGCATGATATGCCCTGAACTGAGCGATACAACAACTATCGCAAAAATTCAATTACTTTTTTTCAGCATTAAAATTACAAAATAAATCTTTTTTTTCTCTATTTCTCTGCGTGTGTGTGTGTGTTTTTTGAATGAAAGAATTGTTGGATAATTTAAAAAGTTTAATTTTTAGGAGAAAAGATTTTAAGAATAATTTAAAAGTTCAAAAAAGCTTTGTATATTTTTTTTGAAAAAATGAAATTGTTTGAATGATTTCTGCTCTATCAATTCCTCAAAAAAAAGCTTTATATTTCATCTTTCCATGATTGTATAGAAATTCATGGAAAATGGGGTTATAGTGTAAACAAGGAGAAATGAAAGGTCAATTATAGGATTTATCGTTGAGATAAAATAAATCGCTTCTCTCTATGTATATGTGTGTGAAAGTGAAATGATTGATATTATCAATGATCGATGCTGAATTTTTATGGTTCAGGAAAGATGGCACATATTATTACCATTTATTATGGATAATAACTTTTGAATCAGTGGTATTGTGATAAAGTTTGATTCGACTAAATTATCGCAACAATGCATATTTATTGATGAAATAAATGAAAAATAGGATGGCAGGTGACACAATGTCATCTGATCTTTTTGAAATTAATCATTTATGAAAAACATTTCCTTAAAATAAATCGTTGTTATGTTGAAGAATTCATCCAAAATTATTTTTTCGATTGACCTATAAGCTCAATTTTCTTTGAGTGATAATAATTTACTATCAATATTAATTGTTTGAATAAATGATAATTTCATTTGTTTTCCAAATTTAACTGAACAATTTTATCAAAATGAAAATCCAACCGATAATATAAATTATTTTTTAATGTATGATTCTAACTGAATGGGTGAACTTTTTATTATATCGCTTAATCATTTTCTAATTCACCTCACATCTTCCACACTTACCTGTGATATTAATCACTTTACAAACTTCTCAAATTTCTCCTTTTATTTTTTATTAAAATTTTGCCATTTAATTTTTTCAATATTTATTATTTTTACGCTTTAACATTTGTGATTTTAGAATTTGGACGAAATTTTCTTTCAAATTAAAATCAAAGTTTAAAATTGTTATTGGCTGTAATGAAAGTATTCAAATAATTTTTCATTTTAATTATTAAACAATCGCAAGAAAACTTCGTAATGTTATTGTTATTGCACTTCACTTCATTGAAACTTTCAAAGTATTTAAGAATTTTTTTAATTCATTCAAATCTTTTAATCAAAAATGGAAAATGAATTTGTTTATAATCTTTCTTTCTCACTTCGATAAAGCTCTTATCATTCAAATTATAGTTTTATCAGATCATTTCTAAAATCTTAAAATATAACATGAAAATGAGAATAATAATATTATTAAGACATTTCCGCTTATATTTATAAAACTTAATTAACGTAGAAACGATAAAATTGAAATTATCATTGGCTAACATTTTATAAGCAATAAATTGAATGAAAGAACATAAAAATATTGTAAATAATATTTACATATTATCCAGCAATATTCATTTGTTACATAAATTTCATTTGAATTTATTGAAAAATGATCGAAATGAGGAAAAAAGGGAAATCATAGTTCCATAACAATCGCAAACAAAAGAGGTCGCATGATTTTCTACTGAGATTAAAGCCGGTAAAGCGCTTTATGGAAAATGTTTATTTTCTAGTTGTTATTATTACTATTTTATATTTACACCATATAGCATTATTATTACCATTATCATTATTTATTTTGTACAACGATAAGATATCATTCTGGTTAATAGTGATAATGAAGTGTTCAATTATTACAAGGAATTAAATGCTAGTAAAAGTAAAATAATAATTAGCCATAGTTTTAAGAAATGAAAATTATTACTATTATTAATATAATTAATGCCATTTTATTTCTTTTTTTTTTGCTGAAATAATTTCTACCATTATTTTTGTCCAATTTTATGATAAATGAGGAAAAATTTGATTATTTCTTTGTTAAAAAATTTGATGATAAAAGGAAAGATATTTTATTGTTTCGAATGATAATCAATTGATAAGAAAAATTGATATGAAAACTTTGATTATCAATTGTACAATCAAAATTTATTTCATTTTTGTATTTGCATATATTTCTTTAATAATTGTATAATATATCAAACAATGTGTAAATTTATTTGTTGCATTGTTTGCATACTTTTAGTATTAAAAGATTATTTCATCTTTCTTTTTAGAAGCTGTCATTTATTTTCTTTTCCTTTTCTTACCTTTCCTTTCTTTTTGAAATTTTATTGAAGAAACTCTAAAACTTTTTAAATAATTTTCAATCAAACAAACAATGAATAATTAAACAATTAATAAATTTTTTTGTTTTCATTGCTTTCAATGAATAAACAAACGAACGAACGAATATATTTTTTAAAGAATTTCTTCACGAAAACAACAAATTTCAGTATTTCAAATATGAAAAGTGAAAGTAAAAATAATTCGTCGAAGAAGAAATGGAATACAATTCGAATATTAATCGCTTTTTGGTATGTAAAAAATTTTTTTCAATTACAAATAAATTTTTATTTAGCAATTTATATAACCATATATAAGTACCATGAAATGTTTAAATTTAATTTAAAATTTAAAACAAAATTTTTAATTCAGGGTATTTGGATTATGCAACAATTTCGCATATGTAATTATGCTAAGTGCAGCTCAGGATATTCTCGAACAAGGTCATGAAAATGCAACGGCAAATGTTGAAACAAAATGTCTTGTAAATTTTGAATTTGAAATATTTTTCTTTAAAAAAATAATTGATTGCTGACAGATAATTAAAATATATGATACTTATGATACAAATTATCTTTTGATAATAATTATCAATCATTATGATTACTATCATTAATTTGTTATCAAATGATATTATATTCATCATTTAGGAAAGAATAACTGATCGTCAGTGTGCTATTATAACAACAGGTGCAGTTTTATTGGCTGATATCTTGCCGTGTCTTCTTGTCAAATTATCATTCCCATTTTTCATGCAAAGGATACCATTTGGGTAAATAATTTTGCAAAAATGACTGATAACAATTTTATCAGAAATTTCCTTTTCTTCTTTGTTTTGTAATTTTTGCTTGGAAAAAAATATTTCAAAGGAAAAAGTTTTTTCTTGAAATATTAGAAAAGATAATTTCTATTGTTTTGCAGGGTGCGTCATCTCATAGTATGCTTATTACAAGCACTCAGTTATTTGATTGTTGCATTTTCCTCGGGAATTATTATATCTTTATTAGGTTTGCTATGACACAAAATTTGCGGGAGTTTTCCTATGATATAGAATTTGCAAGGGGAAAGGATCGGTCAATAGAAAAATGAATATTTGAAATGCAAAATAAACATTCTATCATTTCTTTTTCATTTGAACAAATCAAACTTCAATGTTCATATTAATAATAAATATGTTTACTTGAAATATTTTTTGAATAGCAATCAAAAAAAGAAAATGAAAAATTCATTTCAGGGGTGGTATTTGCGAGTATTAGTTCGGGTCTCGGTGAAATAACTTACCTATCGTTGACACCATATTTCAACAAGTTTGTTTAATTGCTTATTAATTTATTTGTAAAGAATTTATACAAAGTGTGAAAAAAAATTTTTTGTGAAATTAAACTTCGATATTTGCAGGAATACCATCTCAACATGGTCATCAGGTACTGGAGGTGCAGGAGTAGTTGGTGCATTAGCTTACGCCATTCTAACAGAGCCGCACTTTCTAAATTTATCACCGAAAGTAACACTTCTAGTTATGCTTGTTGTACCATTGTTATTTTCCTTAGCGTAAGTTTTAATTAATATGTAACAAATGTTTCTTGTTTTTCTACAGAAAATCACAGATAACTCGTTGATTGATATTTATTAATTAGAGCTGTAATAGTATTATCAGAATTTTCTTTGAGTTCAGTGGAATTAGAATCATTTGGCAGAAGTTACAATAATCAAATTCATTAAATATTTATGCAACTAATACAATTTACTAATTAGTAAAGGTACGTAAGTAAGAGAGAAGTTGTTTTACTACGGTAATTTTGTAAGTTATTCCAATAGGATAACATTAAAATAAAGGTAAAAGAAGTTAACCTGATTTAAAAAACAAAAACTTTTTCTTTTTTTGCAGATACTGGTGGTTATTAGTATTACCTGATTCGATACATAAAGTAAATGTTATGAAGCCTAATACTTGGATTGTGCCTAAGACATACATGTCTGCAAACTCATTCAAAGATACCACCTCAATTGCGGAAACAAATGATAGAAAATTTTCATCTGAAAAAGTCAAACAACGCATACTATCCTTTAAAGAAATGTTGCGTACGACACTTGTAAGCTATGAAAATTTCAATTGCAAATATTATAAAAAAATTTTTGATATTTGAAATAAAATTTTACAATTTTCAAAATTAATCCTTTTTTTAGACATTGCTACGATTTATGATACCGCTGATGCTTGTTTATATCGGTGAATACTTGATAAATCAAGGTATTTTACAGTTGATCGTTTATTCATGTGATAAAGGATGGCATCTTTCACCATCAAGTCAATACCGTTGGTATCAAGTAAGTTTTAAATGTTATCTAGAATTTCTAATTGTTGAAAAGAAAATTTTTTTTTAAATTCGAAAAGTAAGGATAATTTTTCAGGTTCTTTATCAAGTTGGTGTTTTCATTTCACGATCTTCGATAAACATTATACTATTACCTTATTGGGCTTTAGTACTTCTGCCTATCCTACAGGTAAGTTTAATTTCTTAAAACTTCCTAAACTCACTAATTACATTATTTCTTTGTTGTTATACAAGGTGTGCAAAGCTATTACCTTAAAAATAACCTTATGCTAAAAAAAAGTTGATTACGAATCAATCGAGAACTGTAAACATCGTGTCTATTCTAATTTACAGGAAACCTGAGTAATATTTTTTTTTTCATTTCTTATGCAAAAAATTAAATCTATCAGGAAATATAAAACAAATATAAATTATTGCTTCACGTCATTTCCGTGTTCCATTCACGTCCATTTATTCTTATTACTTTTCCATTTTTTCATTCTGTACAATTTTTATTATCAAATTATCAAATCTTATCTTAACTAATCAATGCATCAATTAATTTTCTCCTCTTTTACAGTTTACGAATGTGCTGATCTTTTTCCTAGAATCGCTCTATTTTTACATTCCGCACATTTGGGTTCTATTTCTATTAATATTATTCGAAGGATTATTCGGTGGTTCAGCGTATGTAAACACATTTTCTCATATACACGATTTTGTAAGTTCAGAATTAATTTCTGTTTTTTTATATTAACTGAGCACAATGAATTAGAAGATCACTTGTTAACAATGAATGACCTAATTAAATTTAATACATTTCTTTTGGATATTAAATGAAACTTTAAAGTTTACTTCTTGTATTTATTTAATAATGATAGGGAACAGGGCACATAGATAATTGTAAGTCACTACTGGAGAAGTTAACGTCTATTGAAAAAAATTAAATTAATTATCGAATTTTTAATAAATTGAAGAAAGATTTTAGGTGAAACCAGATGTCCGAGAATTTGCATTGTCAATCAGTTCGCTGGGTGACTCAATTGGAATTGTTATTGCTGGACTTCTTTCCATTCCGCTTCATAATTATATATGTCAGACGAATGTACCTGTACATTGACAGCTTGAAAATCTTATCATTCTATTTGATTCAGTTTAAGTAATATTGTTAATTTCATTTATTTATCTTTTTCTTTTATCAAATATGTCACTTATTTTTATTTTTGCGTTTCAAGTAATTATTTTTGAATTTCAGGTAATTTTAAATAATTTTTATGATAAAAATTACAAAAAAAAAGCCCAATAATTTAATAAATAATAATAAGAGTAAATTCCATTGTAATAAATTAATTAATTTTCTCATTTTCTATTTCTATTTCACCCAAAAATACTTTTATCATTTTAATATTTTCTTATTCAAAAATCTTACATAAATATCGATCTGTTCATTATGGAAGTAAAAATACCAAAATATATTTCAATTTGAAGGTGATATTATTTATTACTTTAATAAGCATAATCAATAAACGGATCAATAAAGATAATTGAAAACGGAAACCGTTGATGTAATTGGAGAGTAGCATAAGTAATCCAACGAAATTGTTGATTATGTGAATTAATTAAAAGCTTATAAAACAATATCATTTCTCGTTTTCAATAAATAGATTGGAAAAAGGAATATAATGGCTGTAAATAGCATAGCCATTTGGAAATAATCCAACTAAATGATTAATTTCGAACAAAAGTTGGAAAAATCGAAAAATTGATTTAAAAGTTCATAACACAGAAATAATCAAATGAAGGAAAAGAAAAAGGATATTTCAAATTTCCAAACGAAGTGTTATCACTAATGGAATTTAACATTTTCACATTATATGATATATTGATAACTATATCGGAGCAATTTTTTTATCATTTCGATGTAATATTCTTAGAACAAACAGTGAATATAACAATTGTTAGAAATAATAGGAATTAATTAGTGATTTGAAATTAATAAAATTAATGATAATTAATGATCTTTGCTCAGAGAAATCAATTTATTTAGCAAAATGTTAAATTTCAGTGGAAATAAAATCTGAAATGATTTTAAAATGTAATTCAAATTATCCTTTAAATGAATTTAAACTATAAGAAAAAGAAGAATTTCATTACCGTTTGTAATACCGTATGAAATGTTTTTTAGTTTAATTTGACTAATTACTACTATAATTTCTTTTTCTGAGGAAGAAAAATAATCAGCTCTGTTCTTTTCATTATGGTAGTCTTAATATGAATGGCGCTGCGGCTTTTGTCAGTTTGCAATACGGAGGACAACGGCGCTTCTTTGGTGCCATCAGAAGATCACTGCAGTGTTTAAAATATAATTTCGATGATTGCAAAGGAGTTCGAAATCTATCTGGTCTACTCCGATTAGCATTTAATCTCTCTCTGCAATCTGGAACTGCAATAGCAATCTGTCCATTTAAATGACCTTCCGCTGCCTCATCTCCGGATATATCTCTAATGAAACGTTCCTGTTCTTGATTGCTTGGAACATGTCGAACTATTCTAAGAATTCGTTGCATGTTATTTGAAGTCATAGCACCTAAAGCATTTGAAATCACTGGAGGATTTGAAATTAAAGCAATTGGAGCAATAGCCAGAGAAGATGAATTTCTGGTTGTGCGCTGAATATCCAAATTTGTCGGCTGTCGGTTAGAAGTTGATCCGGTAGCATTTGGAGCTCCTTGAATTCCCTGCACACTAATGTTTTCGCCGATATTCTAAAATAAAATCATATGATAAAACAATTTACATTCATGAAATAAATTTATATTTTATAATTTCAAAAATTTATTACAGTATCCTACCTTAATAGCAATCTCACATTTTACATTTTATTCGAATAACATGAAAATATTGCAGTAAATTATTAAAAGAAAATTTCCACATTTTTTATACATACGTTATCCATTTGCCGTTGAGTTACGGTATTGTTGCGCAATTGCGCCAATTCGTCGCATTTCTTCTCTTTTGATAAACTTTCATTTTGTTTAGCTTTACATTTATTCCGATTGCTTTTTTCACATCGTTTATCTTTCATTTCTACAATTCTAATCAATTCGAATTAATTTGAATAATTTCAAATAGTAATAGAGAAATGAGAAGAGAAAATAATAAGGAAGAAATATTTGATTAACGAAGTTTATTGAAACACTAAAACTAATCAATAATATCAATTAATTAAACAAACTGATTTAGAAAAAACAAATAAATTGTATAGGAGAAACTTAATTTTCTTTATTATATTGCATTTTCCAAGAATCTTCTAAGAATTCTATTGTTACGCAATAAATAGTAAATATATGAATTTCATTTATAAGATATTCTCAGGTAAGAAGGCATCCAATGAAGTGAAACTTTTCTTCCGGAAAGCAGAACATTGTTAAATTCTAAACAAATATCTCATTAAATATAAATAGACATATTTTGATGATTGAGAAACTAAAAATTTAGTATTAACAAAAGAATATGGTAATAGTGTGGTAAATTCCGAGAGATATATGGTAAATTCCTGTAAGGATGGAATGGCCCATTGGTATTGCTTATACCAATGGGCCATTCCATCCTTATAGGAATTTCTCAGAAAGCAATAACTAATTGGAAAATTACACACACTTCCGTTTAAACTCTAAACAATATGCGCCGAAAATTACAAATGATCTATTGATTGATTATGAACTTGTTTGTAATAACTCTCTCTATTATAGAAGTAAGTTGAATTCATCCCATTTTTTTGTGGTAATTAAGTTTAACCGAATTTTCATAGAGTTATCAGTTCAATTAATCAATGCTTTATGGTTGCTTTTTGATAGGAATGCTATTACTGAAAGTATGTGAATTTCAATTCTCTTGCAAGAAATTCATCAAATTCAAATTGCTGAATGTAATTGGACACGAAATAATTCCTGCAGTTCCGCATACTACTTGTAGCTTTTGAAGAAGTGAAAAGGCGACATTTGCAGATTTGGGATAGTGCTTCATTGATTGGATTGGATAATATTATGCAATGACGCGTAATTGAAATGCATAAATTAAACAGATAAAGTGTGATAAATGAATTTTGGCAAGGAATCGAATATAACTGTAAAATTGTACCAAAGGAGCGCAAGCAACCTAAATGTTTACCTGAAAATGACAAGAGATGAGATGTTCAGGAATGAATAATAATTGCTAGCAACATCATAAACAAACTGTATGGATATGGCGGGATGAGGGAAGAGAATGGGAAATGGGTCAGAGGTAAAACTGGTTGGAGTGATGGCGATCTGAGCAAAAGCACTACTTATCATTATAGATAGGTACCTACTTTAGAACTTCCCTCTTATAGTATATAATAAATGCACCTTGCCTCTTTCCCCTCTCTCATCATGACCTACTTGTTGCAAAAAGTAATAAGTACCAGAGTAAGTAAGTTCTGATCCTATGTTAAAATCAGTGCCCTCATGAAAGGTAAATTATTGTTACAGCAAAATTATTCTGTTTGAAAATATACTTCAAAGGTATTATCGGTAAAAAATTAAGCAATTTAACGATGACGTCATTGCCTTCCAATTGTTCAGTTACATAATGTCAATAAAGCACTGATGTCCAAATCGTAAACAACTCTGACCATCGATGTCTATGCAGTGACCGTTAAAATATAACTCCATCAGCAACAATACATATGAACACGGATTAAACAAGAGGGGTCATTGATGACCATCGATAATGTTGCAAATGTTTTTCTTTTCAAAGAAGGGATCAGTAAATGATTAAATTGAAATAAATAATAAATTTGATTTGGGACACAAATGATATCCATCTTTAAAATTAACAATCAATATATGAGCTTTGTTTAAGAGGACGCATCTTTTTAGATGACCTCTGCAGGCTAAGGACATTCGGGATTTAAAAATTAGGAAAAATTTGCAAAGAAAGGAAACAGAAGTGAAGCATTGTAGTGAGTTAATTGTTTGGGCTATAAGTTCAGTTTAGTGGTTTATCGTTTAAGACATTTTTGGAAAATAAATACCAAAGAATTTATTTTTTTTTCATCTGATTGAATAACATTTCAAAGTAGTCTGTGAATTTTCCAAACTTCTAAAACACTCAAACTTTTAATGAAAAAATACAGTTTGGCAATTAATCAAACATATTTTGCATAATGCCGTTTGTTGTTATTTTTGCCCAACGTTGCATACATTTAATATGCTATCGATTCACTCATTAATTACTACTATAATAAAAATATCTACTCGTTTAAAGAAATTTGTTGATTTCTTTTCTTTGACCGCGATAGCAACGCTTACTTGCATATGTCACTTCAAAAGATTGCGCGTGCCAATACCTCGTGGATATTGACTTAAGACATGATATTTCATATCGTTCCTTCCTTTCGATTTGGCGTGTTTCCACAATGTCGAGAAATGAAAGTTCAATCGTCCATCTATTCGGTGAGGCCGCGGTGGGGGGAGGTATGAGAAACGGGTAAGGTAGTTGTGGGTAGAAGAGGACGGGGGAGGGAGTTAGTTTTTCAGCGAATAGGAGGTATGGATAAGGAAGGAAGTTGTGAAAACAAAAAGATGGTGAAACTTTGTAATTCTGTTAGAGATTGATAGGAGTGGAAAGATTGCTGTAGTGGAGGAGACAGTCGAGATCGATGAAATTTGTAACAAATGTTTTGCGATAACTTTGAAATATATGAAATAAAATGAAAAAATTTCGTTATTTCGAAGTGTTTTTTGTTTATAATGAAACTTCACTATTCATGCATAGTGAAGTTTTTGTGTTATTACCAGTTTAATACACATCTTGTGATTCAAATTTTTAGTTGATTTAAATTGGCTTTTCATTTAATTCCAGCACTGATTATTATTCATTATGCCCATGTCACCGTTGTTAAATCCTAGTGAAGAACGTGTTGAAATTTTTCTAATGGAACTGATGAAAATCAATTCCTGCACTGGAAATGAAGGTATGAAAATATGTTCACTCTTATCGTTGTATGAATTATATAAGTTTTGCTAATTTTGTAACAAATTTAGCGAAATTTGGTATGAAACAAAGTGAAGTGAATAGTTCTTTGATCTGCTTTCTCTGGATCTTCTTCGATCATTCTGTTAATTCAAAATATTTTAGAAGATCTATCAGCGGCTTTAACAGTATATTTCAAAGCAACGGGATGGCACGTCTTACAGCAGCCATTGAAAAGTGATCCAAAAAGACATAATCTTTTGGTTACTAGGATTCCATATATAGCTCCAGGTTAATTATTGAAAATGCTAAAATTTCAATCTTTTTGAAACAAAAACAAAATTTGAACTTCGAAGGCAGCAACTTTTATTTCTGAAAAGGTTAGAAGGAGGTAGAGTATAATTTTCAGAAATCAATGAAAAGGATTTTCATAAAATAGTAAAAAGGCGTAAGCTGAAGTAAATAGTTGTGCTGTTTCATCAAAATCAACAGTAATATTTTTAAGGACCTCGATATGTGTTGAATACTCATATGGATACAGTTCCACCATATATTCCACCAGCGTACGATGGCACTAAAGTAACAGGAAGAGGAGCAAATGATGCGAAAGGTTGGGAATACGTTTTAAATTTACAGTAAAAAAAGTTGAGCTCGTTTTGCATCACTTCTTCCTTTTTTTCGTTTCAGTGTTTTTCTCTCTCTCACTTTATCTTTCGGAAGCTTGTTTGTCAAGAGTCGAAGCTCAACTTAAAACAGATAAGAACTAGATTCTAAAAAATGCTCCTCTTCGATAATCATTCATTCATAACCATTCGAAAAATTCGATAATCATTCAAGATCTCCACTTATTGCTTTTGGTTTGAACTCTTCAAATTTAGAATTTCATTAAAAATTTGCAGGACAGTTGGCAGCAATGATATTTGCTGCCCAAAAAATAGCGAAAGAGGATCCAGACCTCGCTGAAAATATCGGTCTGTTGCTGGTTGTAAGTGAAGAACTTGATCACATTGGCATGGTGGTATGTTTAATACACAGCACATCCTAAAAATTCATGGATTATTTATTGCCGCTAAAAAAAATTGAAATATCGCTTAATCTTCGTCTTAATTCATCCTTTCATGAAAGAAAAGTGGAACTGAAATGAGGAAGGGATAGAAAGGGGAAGAATGGAAAAAAATTCAATCAACAGAAAAAAGAGTATGACAAATTTGATTAATTCTTCGTTATAATTTGTGTCTTACGTGTGCCGTTTTTCAGGAAGCAAATAACCTAGGATTGGTCCCGGAATTTTTTATGATCGGTGAACCAACCGAATTAAAATTTGGCCGTTTGCAGAAAGGAGCAGTGAAAGTAAGTGATATTGTATGAGGTGTAGATCAGGTTAAATTGGAAACGAATGAGTTTACTACTTCTCAATGTTCGAAGGGATTTTATGATATAAACTTCAGACATAGGCTTTTGGTTTCAGGATGCTTCTTTCGACTTAAAACAAGCATATCTTTCGAGCCTAACCTAAGCCTAAACACCCAAGTCCAAAATTACACTTTTTTAGACGTAATATATTATCGTAGCTAGATTTTAAGGTAAGTTTATTGTGGCTAGATTTTAAGTTAAGAAACAGGTCTTTGACATCCGTAAGATGCCGAAATTTCAGGAAAATGATTCATGGCGTCACTAAGTTTTCTTGCTGCTGGTTTGGCACCCAAGTCTAAAATTACACTTTTTTAGACGGTAATATATTAATTGCTCATTAAGCTATCTCACTGACTCCAAGTCAAAGACAGTGATAGCTTCAGTAAATTACTCTTGCTGCATAGGATACAGGGATGTGCTTAAAAAATGTCTTGTTGAGCCAGTTGAGCCAGCAATAATAATTCAGTTGAACGATGGCGGAAATTTCAGGATCATCTCCATGTTCAAGGGAAAGGAAAATTGGATCTTATCCTTCCTTTACATTTTACCAGCAATTTAATTTCATCCATTCCATCTTTCTGTTTTTGAAATTTTTTGCTCTTTCAGGTAATATTAAAAGTTCATGGGAAAGCGGCACATTCTGGTTATCCGCATCTGGGTGACAGTGCTATTGATAAGCTGCTGGATATTCTTCATGATATCCGAACACATGAGTGGCCATCAGACAAAACATTTGGTCTGCACCATTTATTGTATTTGTATAATTTGAAGAACAAGATCCAATTTTTGTTGCTGTCTTCTAAGTTCTGGTTACTTTTTCTTACAGAAATTTGGGGTATAATCCAGTTAAAGCGGTTACAAGGAAACTATACTCGTTCTTCTCACATGTATTTTCAAAAATGTTGAACTGTCAATGATGGAGGTATTTTTTCGCAAGAGATTGACATTTATGTTAGAATGATCAGTTAATTTTACCTCAGATCATTGGCATTTTTCAAATGAATATGCATTTCAGGATCAACAACCGTCAATATTGGCCTTATATCGGGCGGCGAAGCGTTGAATGCGTTGGCGGAACATGCTTCGGCAGCCATTTTCTTCCGGGTAACTACATCTACCGCTGATATTTTGAAACAGTTGGAAACTATTGTTAATGGACGTGCCAAAATTGACCAGTCATTTGGCAAAAATGAACCAATATTTCTCACAGGTACTCAGCTTCTCATTAGGTCTCGAGGATGTACGTAGTCGATTTTTTTAAATAGTTAATACGCAGTTTTCTGTTTTCCCTACAAACACAAATACTGGAATATATTAATCATGACATAAGTTGATAAAATCTTTCTAATGTAATAGTTTTAAATAAAATTTAATTTAAATTGTACATGTACATCCAAACACTCGTTTTATTTTTATTGTGTTCGGTCAAAATTGCTTTTTTCCAGCTCCACCACCACCTTACGACTCAGAAGTGGTGGCATTCAATACTGATTTACCTTATTTCATAGCTCGTGATAAGCTGAAAGCCGCATACTTATTTGGAGCAGGTTCAATCACAAATGCTCATTCCAAAGATGAACATATTCTTGTGGAGGATCTTAAGAAAGCGGTTGAAATTCATATTTCTATTTTCAAATGTACTCTGAAAGCAAGAAATACTTGACCAAATAGTATATAGTAAAATCGATAGGAATTTAGTGTCTTATAGTAACTAACAAAATATACTTATTTTGATAATTTCTCTCTTTTTTTAAATATTTTTGCTATCTGTTCTGAAAAATTATAATGTATGCATTGGATCATTTTGCTCAAAAGTTATTTCCAAGTAGAACTGCTATCGCACCCGGTCGGAATCTTGTCCTCTGAATTTAAATTTTGATTTGAAATTAGTGGAGTTTCGTGGACTACCTCATCACTTTTAAACTGCTTCTGTACGCTTAGATTCAATCTCTCGTTTGTTTTAACTCATTTTACTCTAATAAAAACCTCATTATTTTATAGCAAAATTTAATTATTCTATACGCATTGTATCTTTATATTCATCTTTCGTTTTAATTAGTTGTCATTTGTGTACAGCACACGCATTAATTATAATGTCTATTTGGTTCATATGGTTCTCGAAAATGTTTCTGAAATAAAATTTTTCGAAAATCTTTTGGCAATGAAATCTTCGATTACGTCAATTCAGTTGAAAAGTTTATTTGCTTCTAATGAAAAGATGGAAATTCATTGCGATAGCTAATGCTTACCCTAAAAAAATTATCAGGTCCGGAATCTAATCTTTAAATTGGAACTTAACTTCTTTTCTAACTTAAAGCTATTCGTTTGCGTTCTTCTATCAATGAATTCGTTGGCAGTAAATGAAAATAGTAATTTGTTGAAGTATGAAATCGATAAATTCGGTAAATTCAAGTTGAGAATGTGCAATACGAAAATATATGGGGAATCAGTTGAAGTTATTTTGCGTTGGGAGGGATTGTACTTATGGTTTAAGGGTAACTAAGTCATTATTGGAAGCATTAATGTGAACCAATCTATAAGTAATCACTCGTATTAAGACTTCTTTCTAAACTTCCACCTAACTTGCATTATGGTCCTACCTCAAAAGTTTAATTGGTATTATGATTTCACTTTTATTGCTTGCATCTTAACACGTTTTTAAGTTGTTTTTAACAAAATTGGAATAGTTGGAGGAGAGAAAGCGATAAATATGGAATGTCTCACTAAATTTAGTGAAGTTTATTCTTGGGATTTACGGCAAAAGTTGCTTAGCTTCTTGTATTTTGCAAAAATATACCAAAAATTTCATTAGATTATGCAAATATATTGTGAAATGTTGAAGCGAACTCGAATGCTGACATATGAATGTTTTTGATAATTTTAAAATGCAAGAAATAACTAGTGTCAAGATATGGATTACAAAGAAACACAGGCTGAAGAACTTGAGGCACTTGGAGTAATCTATCCGAATGAGTTAGAAGTTCTGTCCAGCGAATACCCCAATATTGTCATAAGGATATCATTGCAGTCTCATCAGGTATTTCATTAGCCAATGCAAAATTCTTCATTTGCAATATTATTAATTCGTTGTTTTTTTTTCGTGCTTCCAATTTGCACACGTTTTTGTAATACTTTTTGAAAGATTTCCACACATCAGCGCCCTTTACTTTACTATAAAATAAAATGAATCATTAATTTTGTATCAACTAATCTTTTCTAAATTATTGATGATTCTATGACACAAAACGATCCTACATTCAAGCTAACATTGCAGTTACTTGGCTTCATGAAGCTTTCACAAGTTTTTAGTGTTTTACGATGTATAATATTTCCTCATACTATACGTAATGCGATTAGCTGCAGATTGATTTGTCGAAATAAGGAAGTAGAGAGTTCGAATTTTCATCTCTGGTTTCCATTGCCTTCGTTCTTGAGCAGTTTTTGATTTTAAGGGAAAAGAAGTTCCTTCTATGTTCGAAGTAATGTTAAACCTCCGGTTATCAACCGGTTATCCAGATGTTGCACCAGAAATTGAAATACTTGGACTAGAGAAAACATTCAGTAGTGAACGCATTGAAAAAGTGCAAAGGATATTGTGTGATGCAGCGCAGGACAATCTCGGTATGCCAATGGTATTCACCATCGTATCAGCTTTACAGGTTTTTACTATTTGCAAGATTTCATATTAGTTTTCAAGTAGTCTAAAATGGAATATTCATCTGGTTGTAGAGGAAAAGTATATTTATAGCATCTTTTGCAATTTCGTTTGTTCTTTCAAAAGAAAGACGAAAGAGAATTATTTACTCGTTCTCTGACATATTATTCTGATTTTATAGGACGAAATTGGACATTTAGTAGAGGATTTAGAAACTGAAAAAATGAAAGCAGAGGAAAAAGCAATAGAAGAAAAAGAAGCGCAAGAAAGAAAGAAATTTGAAGGTTTTTATTTTTGCTTTGGCGTTGTGGCAAGATAGGCGTGAAGATGTGGAGAAGATGCTGATTTTAATTCTAGAATTTAGCCTGCAAAAATTTACAGCAGTTAAACTGATTGTTAGCACATTATACACAATGTTTTAGGGAAGATTAATAGCATTAAAAAGTTATCCTTATTACGCTTCTGGAGGCATTTCATCCAGCTTCAATAGCGTTTTAAGATGTATTTTGTTGCATGTTATCATTTAAAGAAGTTCGAAGATGGCATGTAACCATAAATTATGCACTTTAAGTGAATCCATTGATCAGTTCTTCATTCCGCTGAAATCAGCCAACTTGCAGTGCCTGTATGTTGCTTAATAAAAATAGGATGTTACTTTGTCGTCCAAAATTTAATCGTTTTGACAATTAAATTTTGAATAATGTATAAGGAAAAAAGAAATTTTGAAGGAATCTAAAGTTTTTCATGTTTTCGGTATTCGTCAAAAAAATCCAGTAATTATTGTTTTCACACGATCTATTTTGATAACTGAACTTTCAGAAAGCTTTTATTAAGGGTCTAATTATGTTTCGATCCTCTTTATCAAATTGCACTCATTTTCTTAGCAAGAACAGAGATGATTGTGTTGTATTCAGTTGTCTTCTGGCATCTCTTTATTTTGTATTGATAAGAGTAATGAAATATTGTAGATTGGCTACCTTTTGTATTTTATTGACCAAAGGAGTATTAAATGTTAGTGTGCGGAGTAGAATGTGTTTAAGATGTTGTAGGGTATATGAAGGCGGTAAATGATTTCGTCAGTAGGGAAACGAGAATCACTGCCCCAGTTATTGCTGCTTTCGCTGCGTCTCCTGCAGCCACTACTACTGTGACACGAAATGACAATGATAACCACATTTGAATACCTTCTGCAGTCTCTCTTCACACTCCTACATTCTCTAATTCTTCGCTTTATTTCCTATTGATACCAGTATTTGCAATACTGTTTCTTTCTCTGTCTAGGCCGTAATTTGGATAAAATTTAACTATACATATTTCTTCTATTTGTGTCTTATTACTCAATTTTTTAAAACTGTCTTGTTCACTTTATTTCTATCTTTTTCATGGTTGAAATGCATCTTTTTTTAATTTCTTAATCATTATTTGGTTTATAAGAGACAAAAATAGTTTACTGATAGATGGAAGATATTTTAGTTTTAGAATTTTGAAAATTGTAAATTGGTATAAATCGAATCTTTTCTATACAGCAATAGAAGTTGTAATTTCAATGTCATTTTATAAAACTCACTCGAAGTTTTGCAGGCACTCGAGTAACACCGGAAGCGTTTTTAGCATGGAAGAAAAAATTCGACGCTGAAATACGAGCTGTCGAAGAAAAGGAAAAATGGGTAAAGATTTCTTTCTTTTTCATCTTTGGGTCGAATAATTTGTTTTATAACTTTTTTTTTGAATTCCAACTTTTCGAAATTTCCAACAGTTATTTAGATTTTTTTCTATACCCCTTTTTTACTTATATATTAGAAATTGATCATGAAATTTATATGCAACAATAGCGATTCATTTTAACACGCATAAAATACACCTTAAAATAAATTCGTTCTATGGGTTCGGTGTGACTTGGAAGTGGGAGCAATATAGGGTACTAATTTGAACAGTGAAAGGTCATCCTCTCCTTCTGTCTAGAGAATGGAAAATCTATGGAGTTTTGCAATGACCACGTTTTTTCACTTTTTTGCAACTGAAAAACAGTGTGATGACTTTGCAAAAAAACAAAATGAGTTGTTTGAGAGAACTCAGCTGGATTTTGGGAAGTTTATTGCTGACCAGTCGTGCATATTAACTGAACAAACTTTTAGAACATTCCTAGAATATAATGTAAACATATTTGTAAATGCTGTTAACATTCGTTCATCGAAGGAAATCGGAACGTTTCTGTTTGCATAGGAGCACCCTGCTGTAAAGCTATGCATCTATAGCAATAATTATAACGGTCGATTCCTGACCGACCTTGAACGTCTCTGTACTGTTACATTTCATCATCCTTGATATCATTTAAATACTGGCAAACTATCTATCGTTTTGTTTATGAGCTTAAGGAAATCAAAAGATTCGATTTTATTAAGAAGTATCAAATTGTGTATGTCGCTTATTCTTTTTTGGAGTTCTCTACCATCTTATAGAGAGCGACCTCCCAGTGTCAAGAAAATTTTTACAATTTTTAAGGTGTATTATACAGGAAATTTTTCGTTTGACGTTTTAGAGTAAAAATTCTTCTAAGGCAATTTTTATTGTACCTTATTATTATTATGCCGATAACAAAAAAATAAATTTCCACTAAATTTTTCATATTATTACTTTAAAATTAATAAGCTTAGCATATCATTATTCACATTTTTGAATGAAAAGGAATTGCTGAAGATTGGTGGTCAGTGTTGACATCAGTTTGTTGTGGGAAAAAAATTTCAGTGAATGTTGATTTCGTTTTACGGAACAGTTTCAATTATGACTTCCAATGTGGTGTACCGTTATCTCTCGAAAAAGGCGTGCCTTATATTCTCCCACACTGCTAGCCATCATTCGATCTTTTATGATCCTTCTTAGATTTAATTATAATTAGTTTTCAGTGACTTAATCTAGTTTTTATAATCTACGATTAAGATTTTTTAACTTAGACCAATTCATTAATTTTTGAGATTCATAGAATATGTGATTTAAGTTATATATTTAGAAAATTAAAAAGTTGCTTTTTTCAGATTCGCGAAGTAGAAGGAACTGGAAAATTGACAGGTCGACAGCTATTCCTTCGTGATTCAACGTTAAACTTGTCCGATGTAGCATTAATGCAAGCAGCAGGCAATGAAATTGAATTCGATGAGTCACTCTTCGACGAGATTGATTTATCAAATGCTGTCATAGAACATTAAGAATAGATGATTCGATTGTAAGTATCACATACAAATATATCGTACATACATACAAAATTTTATCAAAAACAAGGTCTGCCTTGTAGGCAATATTTTCTTTGATACAAATTCTTTGCTAGTTTCCTTCTTATCCGAGAAGGTTAGGAATTTCCTCGCGTCGATAATGAAGAAGAACTGGAACCTATTTTCTATAAGTGCATAATCCACTTGCCACTATTTAGGAAATAAACATATATTTTGCATAAAATTAAGCATTTGAATTTCAAAAATATTTATGATATTGATGGCTTAGATTCTGTTGAAAATGACGAAGAACAACAATGAAAGGAGTTATTGCCTCAGGTGCAGCTATTTACACAATTTTAAAACTTTTCTTTATCTTTGAACTTTTTAAAAGTTTCGTGCTTTAGATTTGTTATTAGCTCACGTAACATTTTTAAAACTTTCTTAATACTGAAATATTTTAGAATATACATCGAAAAAACAAACTTGCATCGGTAACTGAGCCCCGTCATGATCTACTTTTTTTTCCGTTTTGGTCGAAAATTTAAAACTGTCCTTTAAAAACAGTTTATTTTCGTGGTATGTTTTTCATTACTCAAAATCCTCTTGTATGAATTTTGTGCAATGTTGCTTGACTGCTTTTTGTATTTAATCTTGGATTTCCGAACGATTGTTGTTATTAATGTCGCTATGTAATTCTAAGAGCTGTAATTGTCAAATAGATTATTTATGATGATTATGTAGTTAACACCTAAAATTATTCTTTTCTCATCAGGATGAATCGATTTTACTATTTTTTAAAGTTTTCATGACTTTTGGTGTTTGTTATATTTCAGAGATGAATTCATGTTTTTCTTCTTGAGACATATTAACATAACTAATTCTTGGTAGTAACACTATTAATTAATACTTGTAAGTTGATGGAAGAAAAATCATTTTACAACTTGATTTGTTTATCGAAAGGGTGCACTTTCAAAGCACTTTTGAAATTTTTATGGAGACTGTTTGTCTTGGTTTGTGTACTTTTATGGTTTCATTTATTTTTTGATATTTATTCGTGTTCCGAAATAAATTACTGGGAACTTCGGATATCCATATACTTAACTAAAGAAGTCAGATTTTAGGTGCTACTTATGCATGCTTCTAGAGGATTCATTTGAACTATAGGATCCCTTAGGAGCATGCACCTCATGATTTGAGATTTGCTAGAAAATTTCCCTGTAGCGTATTTATATAGTTATTAAATTATTAACATTCATAGTGTTTTTGAAGAAGGACAAATAAAACATTCCGAAACCGTATTAGTGCACTTGTCGATTAATGTAAGAAGCGAGAACAAAATTTTGGAATCTGTAGAAACGTATTAGTGTATTTACAATTCTAGAGATTTTCTATTTATTTTCTAATTTTCTTTCAAAAAACCGTAGTTTTCTACCATTAGATAATTTTAATGGTTTTACCAAATCTTAATGAAGAAATGAAATTTTAAAAGCTTGGTTTATAAAGACTCTTATGCAGGTCAAGGAATTCAGTAATTGAAATTTGAACTGATGGCGGAATATCTCTGGAAAAGTCGAGTTGACAAGTCCTTAAATTACTAAATTTTGAGATATAAGAAAGATAGCCGGTGACATTGTTAAGTTTAAGTCTGTTCATAACTTTCTCGTCATTAAAATATTCATTTTCATTAATATTGTTTTTCCTTGTTCTGCATCGATATTTATCATTTTGCTTGTTTTTTTTTGAATAGACCGAGAAATAAAAGAATTTTCGTCTAAACGGATAGCGTTTTGTTGAATAGCGGTTGCTTCAAACCAAAAGACTGTGCTTTTCTTTAATATACTAGTCAGAAAGTTTAAGAAATCATGATTGAACCTTTCCTTAATAATTTCGATCGAAAGTTGGTTTAAAGTGGTTGCTGGTGATGTTTCGGCATCAATATTGTTTAAATAAATTGATTATCATTAACATCACTAATTTACTGGTTAAGATCCTCGCAAACAGTAATATCCATCGTTGCCATTTATATGAAGGAAGAGGATAGTTAAAGTAGTTGAATTTTTACTGATTATGACGAATTCAAATTAAGATATTTGTTTCTTAATGAAATAACGGACGGAATAAAGAGACTTCGAATACGATGGATTTGTTTACTGAATTTAGTGAATTATGGAGATGTTAGGAAGATCTGTTGCGATCAGATTTGTTGCGATCTGTTGCAACTGATCTGTTGCGATCAGATTTTGCTTCATCCATAATTCATAATTTTGATGGCAAATTATGAGTGGGAAAATAACAATGGCTACTTTACACATGCGATATTGTGACAAATTAACGATGACATAACTGTAGTAAGTGTGATATGAGAGAGTATATTACCGTGTTCAGTTTGATTCTCCTCATAAGTTCTTAGGAGTTGTTTTTGAGGGGCTGGAGACATGTTGTGATGAATTATAACTTTAACATATTTGCGAATGAAGTTGACTTGTGGATCTGTATAATATAACAATAAGGGAATAAGTGAACGACTAATTTAAGCACATTGTATGTTATGGCTTTCTCTACTTTAAATAATGACAATAAATAATGGATGTCTTTCCTTTTGGTAATTTTCATTGCCTTTTTTTAGATCTTGTTTTTACAAATAAGATTATTACTTCTCCTTTTCCTAGTCAGACTGACTCTTAAGTGATAACTATTCTGTAAGCTCAGACTTAATTTATCACTTATCACTCTTTTGTATTTTTGGTAGTTTTTACTTATCGATTTTTATGGACATATGGAAATTGATTTGTTCGATTGCTTGTTGTAAATTCTCATTTAGTCGTACAGTAGCTGTTAATGTACGACTTTGCCTTGCATCCATCGCAGAAATATCCAACAGCTAAAGAAAGATGGAAGCGACATCGTTATATTTTACAAAAACTGGTTTTCCCATAAGTCGCAAAGAGGAGGGTTTGAATTTCTGTGCTCGTGTTGAAAATTTCAATTTTATAAATTTTTTTTAAAAGTTTTAATCCAAAGTGTCTAGGTACTTTTGAATTTCAATTCTTCATTACATTGTTAAATTTTACTTTGTTTTGATTTGTTTATTTGACGAAATCACTAGATGTGAAACATAGTGAACATAAGCATAGTATGTGTAAGCCACGTTCTTCATTGATGGTTTGGTGTAGACGTTTGGTAGACAAAACTATTAATTGTTTACAGGGTTGAATGTCGTGGAAGTCAGACGGCCCGCCGTCCAGTCATGGTTCATATTCTCCATCTTCCGGACAATATAGCTCAGGTGTAAGTGGTCATTCTATTAAGGTTTTTGCAAAGTCTGGAGAAATAGGTCCTGAAGGATGGTTGGAAATGATATTTTAAGATTTTAGTGACTGTGAGAAGAGATCAATTACTACGATGTCCAGACATCTAATGCAGTACCTGTCTCCTATTTAGTGACCTGCCAGCATTCCGAACACTGATTTTAAAGAAAAGATTTCTTATACCATTGTATTCTGCCTGTTGTTACACTTTTCCTGGAGAATAATTAGTAATAATAAGATAAAATAAATGACGAAGAAACAAACTTTCTTCTGTTATTCGTCTTTTTATTTTTAAAGTTTTTTATTGCAGTCTAACGGTCGAAACAGTGCCGCTCGTATTTTTCAGCCGCTGCATGCTCAACTTCCTACATTTTTACAAGTGAGTTTATTTTCTTTCTTTTTCAATTTCTTTGTTTCAAGCGTTTCTCAAACTCAAAAATCTCGTTTCAAAAATATTCTTTCACAGTTCAAAAAGAAACGGCTACCGTCTTGCGAAACAACATTTTTCCGCTGCCAAAAAAAATATAAATCGGTAATAAAAATTCACAAACATATTTAAATACAAGTAACGGCGAGAATACTTTAAAATATTCCTATTTATTATCAAAAGCAAACTAGCAATACCAAATGTTTTTTTTTGAATTGTAGTATTAAAAATCTTCTATATCATCGGACTTGAAGTCCTGATTCTTAGTCAAAATGATGCATGTATTGTATACTAATTTATTTAAAATAATTGCTTTAGGTGAAATCAAAATTTGATGCGGAATGGCGACGCTTTTCGATACAGTTTCAAGATAGCAAACCTCCTTCTTATGAACACTTTCGTACGCTGGTCGAAGGTCTTCATTCTTTACACAGTATACCTTTCACAGTGTGTTATACAAGCCATTCTGGAGACCTCCTGCCTATTACTAATGATGATGTAAGTTACTTCTCTTTATTGAAGAATTAAGGACAATTAATAGTGCTAATGGATAAGGCAAAAAAAAAAAAGCATTATTCCAATTTAGATAGATTCATCTTTTTGTTTTTGTTATACTTTTGCTGGTGGAAACACTGCCATATAAATTTGTTTAAATGAATGAAAGTTTAGTCGTCAATAAAATGTGAGTTCGTCTTTTGTTTTTCATCTTTTGCCTGAAAAACTGAAAGCGGTTTATGAAATAGAGAAAAAATATAATCCTTAATTTTGTCATTTAGTTACTTTACTTGTTTTAACAAAACTGTTTTATGCAGAATTTTCGAAAATCTTTTGAATCAGCCCGTCCAATACTTCGGCTCTTGATACAACGAAAGGGTGAATCCTGGGAAGAGAAATATGGCTACGGTACAGATACAATTGATCGACGGCGCAAAGGGTTGTCCCTATTGATACCGACAGTTTCCAGACCTCCCAAAAGAACATACAATATTTCAAACCCAGAAGATTTTCGGCAGGTATTCTCCGCTTCTTATTTCATGTCGTTTTGATGCATTCTCTTTAGAAAAGTCACTTTAAAGCGTATTGCATACTCTCTTATATGTTCCAGATAGTGTTTTATTCTATTTATTAGATTTTGCTTTCAACTTTCAGATATATTTTAGGTTTTGCCGGATGCTTCTTCTAAACAAGTTAATATCTTTTTCAGGTATCGGCAATAATAGATGTAGACATTGTTCCAGAAGCTCATCGTCGAGTACGACTTTGTAAACATGGCAGTGATCGTCCGTTGGGATTTTATATTAGAGATGGTAAAATTACAGAACTTGTTGCAGCATTTTATGAAGTAGTAGTTTTAATATACTCAAGGTTGTGTTTATTAAATTATTCAATTTTAGATCAGTAAAATCAACTTCCTTAGATATCGTTTTGAGATCTTTTCGTTTTAAGTTATGATCTTCATATGTTTTTCTCGTCAAATAATCCTAATTGAAATCATACACCGGTAAATTTAGCGAAATAAATCAAGAATCGTTCTATGTGTTTTATTCTTTTATCTTTTAAGGATGGGAAAATTTATCATTTCATCATTCCAGGAACATCAGTAAGAGTAACCCCACAAGGTGTGATGAAAATACAAGGAATCTTTATCAGTCGTCTCGTTGAAGGGGGTTTGGCTGAATCTACGGGCTTACTAGCGGTTAATGATGAAGTACTTGAAGTGAATGGTATTGAGGTTTGTTTTTTAATTTTTCAATGAAAATTTTTTTCCAGAAGTAAGAATAGGATAACTGCTGTTCATTATAGATTTTTTTCGTGCGGAAGTTGATGATGTAAGTATCGTCCCCTTTTTCTATGTTTCTTATACATTATTTTCAGGTACAAGGTAAAACTTTAGACCAAGTAACAGATATGATGGTAGCAAATGCTCAGAATTTGATAATTACTGTGAAACCAGCGAACCAGCAAAATACTCTCCAACGTGGCATACATTCACGGATTTCAGGTTGGAGTGGAACTTCCGAAGATGCATTAATGGCTCAGAGGCGAGATAATAACAATGATATGCAGAGCACTAGTGGGTAGGTTTCAAACATAATTTTTGATAATAGCCCATTTATATCAATTTTTATTTATATTAATTCCTCCATCTCTTGAAGAAGAAGGCAGTGATCATGATATTTCAAAATGTATGTGAAAATAATTACTTAAGTGTTGTCTTTCCAGTGGATTATCGAAAAGTCACCGAAACAACAATGAGCTGAGTGATGAAGATTCAGATGAAGATATTGTTGTTGATCATACTAAAGAAAACATTGGTAACACAGCATCAGAAAGCCATCATCACCATAGGTACCAAAGAAATCGATAGATTCCATTTATTTATCAACAGTTTACTATGAATGAAGTCTTTTATCTTTAATTTTCACTTTTTTTGGTCAAACTAGATTACTTATGACTCTACTTTTGCGGTTGGGGAGTTTAAATAAACTTGTCCATTTGTTACTGACAAGGTCTCAAATTTTTGGGACTTCCTAATTTGGGAAGTTGAAGTGCATTTATTTGTTTCAAAGATATTTCATCATGGTCAAAACAGTATATAATATAGTGTAATGTTACTGTTCTCCCCGGACTGGAAATTTCGTACTCCCTTGTTAACTTTCCATTTGTATAATTTACATGTCATAAAATGAACAGCATCCATATTGGGTTGGATTGATTCACCTGTTTGTTTCTGTTTCGAATTTGCGCCTTAATTTCACAGTTTATTTTGTTTTTATCCCAACGGTGGTGCCTTTTCTTCGTGCTTTTTATATCACTTGATAAAAAGTTTGTGATTTTTTTTTTCAAATTTTTAGAATCAATTTCGAGCTGTTTTTGTAGGATAATTGATTTTTTTGAGTAGTGTCTGCTTTTCATTTTTCTGTTTTTAAGAACAGGTCAATTCTCTGTGCGTGTTTTGTGCATTTCGAACATGATTATTGCCCTTCATGATATTCATGAAAGTATATTGTCCCTCTCTCTGTGAAGTTTGGTATTATAACACAAAACCTTGAAACATATACCTTACATGGAACGTATGCGACTTTGGAATTGACTGCATGATCTCTTTTAGTTGGGCCTCATTCCTCCTGGTTCTAGTGGAAAACAAAAATTTTTTCATTTTGATTACTATTCCTGAATCTGTTGTGATTTCCTCGAGTTCATATATAATGTTATAATTATATTATGTTTAAATTTAGATATTTGTGCAAGGTTATTTGTTAGAAGTGTTTATTTTGCTTCCGCGAATTCTGATGGAAATGAATTTTTAAAATTTAATATTCAAGCCACCGAAACTTTGCACTTCAAATTTATTTTTGCATGATATTCGGCGGAAACCGTTAAAAATGTCGTTATGAAGGCATGTTTGTTTGAATTTTCAATAGAGGTTCCACTAACTTTATCTTCACGGAATCTACTGCCGAAGAGATCGTTTCTTTAAATTTTTGGATTAAAATTTCAGTTCCATATCCCAATTGCTCATTCTTTTGATTGCATATATTATCTCTGTGATACGAAAACGTGAAGTAGACTGCTGTATCAAATACAATAAACAGACTTCACAAGGTTGTCTATCGTCATCATGAATAAATTTGCAATACATAATTTCCCATTACATCTCGTTTTTTGCTCGTATTTAAATGCGCATTTATTGGTAATATCATCTGGGAATTTGCATCTCTGTCGGAAAACCAAAATATTTCATAATAAGCTCGTTGAAATAAACATCGTGTTTTTATGTTATTGATATCCGCACTACAGATCTAGACAATACGCTGACTCTGGAAATATGTCCAGGATTCGGATCATTTGTTGCTAATACAGATTAATAAGCCTTTTTGCGTGGTGACCCATTTAATATGACCGCAGACCGTGTTAAAGACAATTTTCCGGTGAGGTTGGGGATTGTTAGGAGATTTGGAAGTGCTGTGTGAGTGCTCTGTGGTATCACGTATAACTTGCTGGAAGTTCACTGAAAATCCTGGAACTTTCTTCACTTATACCTTAGAAGGGTATTTCCTGGTAATTCTTTGTTAAGCAGGGGATATTTCTTTGAGACGACAATAATATCAGCATGCAAAGCGGAAGATCTGATGGAAAGGCTGAAGTAAGCATCTAAGAGTTAAATCTGTAAGTGATGTTCTTCAAGCCAAGCAATTGAAAGAACTGGTACATTTCAAAGTAAGATGTCGTCGTTTTGTCGTTCAATCTGTTTCCAGGTGATTTACACTGAGATTTTCCGACACTTCGCGAAGCTATTAGATATAAAATTTCTTCGAATTGATCTTCCAGCATCCTTCTAAAGGTGAATTTCAAATCATTATTACCGCATTCCCGTTCACTCAGTAATAGTGTGTTCGATTCTTTACTTACATTCTCCTGAGGACCCTTTTTGTATTTTGAATAAGATTGAATAAGCCATTATATTACTTTCTTATATATTTAAATTACAATATACATCTAATGACTGTTGACATAAAAATTGACATAAATTGACATAAAAAATGACAATGGCTTATTCAGTCCTATATATTCATGAATCTAGTTTTCATAGTTTTCTTGGAATCCTTCATACTTTTTCGCCTTTTTCTTCATTTGAATTTTATCTTATAATCTGCTAAATTAGCTTTTTTTTCAAACTACATTTTGAAGTTACTGTCAACAATTATTGAAATGTATATTGTAATTTGAATATATCAGAAAGTAATATTACAGCCTCATGTTATGCTGATTTATTTACTCTTTGTTTGGCCTTATCGTTTTCTTATCAATCCATTCTATCGTCATCGCCCATTTGCATCTCATATCGTGAAAAGTTACATTCAAAGCCGTAAATATCCCACGTGGACATCGTTTTTTCTGCTGTATCGGTAATGGCTATTCTACAATGTTTATTATCACTCTATAAGAAGAACTCATAGAAGCACTGCGTGCAAGAAACTTCAGGAATTGGTTTTTCGACTTCATCTTCAAAAAATTTCTTTGGAGCAATTTTCATTATTTTACTCATCATTTGAGGGACGTTCAAGACGACAATTTTGGCGACAAACATTTCAATTTTAATGTTGATGGCCATAATTATTGCATATTGAGGTATGTTACTCTTTTCCTATCTGCAAAAATTAATATTATTGTTAATACCGTTTTTCATTGCTGTATTTAAAAATGTTTAATTCCCCATTGTTTCAAATACATATTATATTTTTTTCTAACATCTATGAACTAGACACAACTGTGCATAACATTGCAAAAGACACTTCAAATAGGGTGGGCCCAGAAGAAATATATATATATATATATATATATAGATATAGATATAGATATTTTTCTCACTTTTCATATCACATATATCGAATTGCTTTTAAATATAGGAATTTAGATAACACGGCAAGTGTTTTCCTCATGTTTGTTTAAAAAAATAGTTGTATATAGAAAGAGAGAAAGAGAAACAGAGGAAAAGATAGTTGCTCGATTAGTGTTTTATTGATCTGCTGTTAGTCATACGATGAATGTTGTTGTTCAATAGATAACTTAGTCGTCGCTTTCTTCGATAGGGGTATATTTTTCATATTTACAGTTAAGTCGTAAACATGAATTTTTAATGAATACTAGCTATTCTTTATGTCGATTTTTCTGATTAAAAAAATCTCAGACAGTTATTATACGAAAATGGAATAGAACTTCCAATGTCATTGCTGTCAATGCATATGATAGATCTAAGGTATGAGTCAGATAAATCAAATCAAGCAGCCATCATGTGCATCAATATAATAGCTGTGTTGCGCAGGCAAAATCAATTTCTGGATATGTCGTCTGTAACAGCCGCAATCTACAAATTGTGAACTTTGTAGTCGCACAAAATTGTACGATAGTATTGTATAGAAGAAAATAATATAATTCACTGCAAATTGTATGTAGTTTCTCGCATATTTTCATGCTTTGGCAGTCTGTGCGACTGTTAGGGTGTTGGAGGATGGGCAGCCGTACGGATGAGATAAATGTGAGGGATGGCCTTGATGGTAAGGAACTCGTCTCATTCATTTCATTTTTTGAATAGAACAGTTCTTCATAAAACTCTCCACTGTTGTTAAAATTTAATTTTCTAGAGTTTCTTTCACATCACTTCGTATTACTAGTAGATGTACGGAGAGCACTGTCAACAACCCATTCATCATCTGAAGATGCTGTTGGATGAAAGCATTTTTTGTTTTATCTGCAAGAGAAATAAAATTTTCCTGTCAAACTTCTGTATGTTAACTTCAATTATTTTTCTAATCCATTTGTCTAAATCCATTGTTGCTTCATTTTCAGTTTCCCTCGCACTTTTTTATAATGCCAGAGGGTCTAATCGTTTTTTTTTTCGGACTCATTAAGAAGTGACGAAATTGCGTGTTTCAATAGTAATTGATTTTGGATACTACATGGTAAGCATCGTGCTACTCTGATATCTGTTTCAATATTGAAAGGCTACTCATTTTTTTAGTTTCGAAAAATTTTCTGGTAAGAAATAGCAAAATAGGAAGCATTAAAATAACCATCTGCGGTTTGGGTTCGAACATGGTCAAAGACTAAAATTTAAGGACCTAAAACATTAACAGCTGCTTCTCAGTCTAACCTTTATCTTGAATTATTTTGTCGACTTTGATAAACTCGTCAGAAATGACGTTCAGCAACGATAGTAATAATTCATGATATAGTCTATAATCGACAAATTTAAATGTTTCTGTATATTCGAACTAGTAAACAATGCCGCTCGCTTAAACACATTCACAAAAATCTGTTATATATTGACATATTATTGGATAGATATATAATTATCACTTTTAGTGTACGAAATTTTGGCACTGCTGCAGGGAAATAGGTATATCAGTTGTGAAAAGAAAATGCTTTTTCGCTGATACACACAACACTTTTTTAAAAACTCATAGCATAGAATCGCATCCCTTTTTCAGATATGTTTTCAGTTTTCCCAATCAACAGAAACGATTTAATGTTCTTTGTTTACTTCTTCGCATCTCTCTTGCAATAGACATTGTTATTGTTAGTGATGAACTTTGAGACGTCCTTTCCCTTCTTAAATTTTCTCGTAGTTATGATTTTTCTCCATTTTTTGCCGCTAAAATTCGAATTTTTGCATATTTAATGGAAGATTGATTTATATATATGAATATTTCGTGAGATTTTTTATATCTGTTTGTTATACTTTCGTTGTTTATATGGAATATTCATTTGAGTATCCGAAGTAGGAGAAACATAAGTGATATGAAATAGGAGAAGCATAAATTGAAAATGAACTTTTTCCCAACACCATTCAACATGTTGTTTAAGTTTATTCAGAATTTAAGGTTAGTAAATGTATTAGCAATTTTCTTTCATATTTTGACTGTTTATAAAAAAAATTTCTTATCCAATTCAATTCGTTTTGAAAGGACAGAGTGCACTTTGAGTAAATTCACCATTGTACAACTGATGTTATGGAGAATCATATCTCATTGAGAATTAAATAATAAGGGACTGAGATTGCAAGATGAGAGATTAGGTGGTCCAATGGCTGAATTATACATCTGCATAACTCACAGTTTCAACAACATTTCAAAATTCACTCATTATCTAATAGTATTATTTGTTTTTCTCTATTGTAATCACTGATGATGGAATTTGATGCTGGATGGGATAAAGAACCAACATTGAAAAATTGGAAATCATTTTTTGTGAACAACACCATTAGTTTTTGTGCTGCAAGTACACTGTTATATGTTCTACTTCTGAAGACCTTTACTGCTCTATTCAGTTTTTGAGAAGGGTTTTTCATGAGCATTTCCTTTGCTGTGTCACATACGCTAGTGTATTATAACTTTTAACTTTCACTATCTTTTTTATGTTTTCATCTCTATATATTTCGTTGATATTTTAATTATTTCTTCCTTTTGAGTTTTAAACTTTACATTTCCACCATTTCAGAATTGGTTGTTATCCGTATATCAAATATCATTGCACGAAAGGACCGTGGGAGGATTTCAGCATCGAAAATCGTTTTTATAAATTTATTACAGTTTTGAATTGTGGCAAGTATCTTTTTCCACTTAACTGTTTGACACATTGAATTGAAAAAAATTTTAAATATTCTACAGTAAAAAAGATATCTGCAGAGCCCAAATTTTTTGTTAATATTTTTTATTCAGTACTTTTGTTTAACGTTTGGTTGATAAAAGTATTTTGTAGGATTGCCTTGTCTGCTGTACGGATTAGCGGCACGAACTTTTATCCGGCATACTGATTATATTGTGGACAAAAATACGGGTCAGAAAGTTGCAATCAAATTTTTGCTTAAAGAACTTCACAGTTAAGGTAATTTCTCAGATTTTAGATGAGAACCTTTGATGTTCTATATTTTTTTACCGCACGAAGTCCTCCAAGACTCATTTAATGTATCGGCGCAAAGAAAAGAAATGCATTTTTACTTATATAAAAATTAAAAATTTATTGAAATAACTGCGCAAGATCAATCTCAAACGTTCGCTTTTGCGAAGAAGCATTACTTTTATGAGGTTTTTTTTACTCTGATTGACTTGCTCTACTCTCTCTCTCTACATTTCTGTTGCTTTATTTCTCATTCCAAATCCTAATTAGATTGATGGAAGTGTTTGTGGTAGATGATTGAAACTTTGTCCAAACTTTTAAAGAGACCTTTGCATTTCTTTTGCGTGTACTCTGAGAACAAATAGTTGTAATATGAAAGTTTTCTTTAAAATTATTGAGTTTCTCCTCCGTTGTTTTCTTTTCTTTTGTGTAGGAAAGGACATTGAAAGCATTAGTTACGGATGGGCTAGATTTCTCTAATAATTTTTGATGCTAGGGTCTCATGTCTGTTTAGTTTTGCAGTAAATTATGTTCATCATGATAATTTTTATTTTTTTGAGTTTCATATTTCCTGATCATTGACATAAAGTATATTTTTTATTATTAAAAAGTGGCAGTTTAGTTGTCTGGAAGGTACAGTAAAGCGTCTCATGTTGTTACATAGGACTTTAAACCATATCAGTATCAGACGGATAGTCGTTTCTCGAGGTGTGGTTAAAAATAGTTTAGTTCGCAAATGAAGTTTTAGTGTAAGTTTTCAACTAAAACTTTGGCACGAAAATACGATGTGTATATTAATTCAGGAAGTCAGAAAATTTGCTCTCACATCTATTTGGAAATTAATATTTCTATTTCACAGTTATCATATCACCAGATCCTCTGTGCATTTCTTACATTTTTATACATTGAAAAAAATTTTATACATTTGCGTTCTGTATCTGTTTACTTTTTTTAGATTCCACAAGATTGCGATTACCAAATGCCTTCTCCATCCAGTCCATTGGAATATCGGCCAACTCCACATCTTATTCTTATCATTATTTTCGTTTTCCTTCCACTGATTTATTTGTGCGGACGACTGGCTGTCACATCATGTTTTATGTTGTTATTTGTCCTTAAATCGATGTTCTCACCAATTTTGCAGTTATTCTATGGGAATGAATTGATTCCCATTCCACAGATCGGTTATGTACCGCCAGTACGAATAATGGCAAGTACAGTGCAGGAAGCACAGGTAGAGCAGTCTTCGGATGAGCAGGTAACGTATACATTAGGCTATCATTAGTTTGTTCTATATAAAATCAAATAACTACTCTATTTTAGAGGAGGAAGTTTTTCGGACATATTTCTCTTTTTTTGGAAATATTAATTTGCGAATTGTCGAATGCAAGCTTTGCGGAATTATAATCTGGCAGCATAATGCTGTTTAGTGCTGTTGCTTGCAGCTTACTGATGAAAACGATGGAGAACACGAACTAATCAACACGGTAAAAATTACTGATGACTTTATCAAAGCGCAACCTAAAAATCCAACTAATGCGCAACCTATTCAGTCTCGTTTGGAGATTCAAACAGGTTTATCTTTGCTAAGTTCTTTACTGTGCAAATTCAAAATATAATTTTGTTTCACTGATTGAATTATCTTTCATGATTTTATCTCATGGATTCTTCGACTTGCCATTCTTCGTCGATTTCCGCTATCATCGCTTAAGATCTTCTCATTTAACAGATTTGTTTCCTTGTTTATTAAAACTTGAGTTGGAACTGCCATCGTGATATGTCCCAACATTTTCAAGTCTGAATAAACTTCGGTTTGTCTTATTAGCTTGTGCTTCGCAAAATATTTTAGGGATTTTGTAGTCCTGAATATTTCAGAAGGTTTTCATGATTCGGAACATGATTCTGGTAATGATGACCACTCAGCATTATCTGCAAGTTCAACAGCGACAACTTCCACCAATCAAACCTTGGACATACCGGGAGCGGAAAGTATGCAAAGCCATAGTATTTTTAAGCGATCGATTCAGTGGCCGCGGCATCGAGATAATTCTTCCCGAACGAATGACATGTAGCAGTAGTTGAAGGCAGATTAACAGTGTGGGGCTCCTATTAGCTAAGGTTTTATCATATGTGTCTTTCAGAAAGCTTTAATAAGCTCTTGCCATTTATTGAAAGTAACTTCCGAGTCGTAATCCATCCAATTCGTTTTTTGCTTATATATATATATCGTCAATGCAGACTTTTTTGATCTTATTTTCGATAAAATTCTTTTAAGCTATAATTGCAAATAGAATGAACGGCCATTCAATTAGAGTAGTTTATTTTAACATCCCAGAAAGACAGGGAATTCTGTCCTAAATTCTTAATATGAAGAAGTGATAAAGGTTCACATGTAACTGAGATAAATGAAAATTGCATGATTTCCGTTCCCTAACCATCTAGTAGTTCTTATTTTTATTTCGTGACAGTTACATTTTCATACAATTTGTTTTCAGCCGAACTCCATTCTCTTCAGCAATTTGTGAGAAATATAATGATCTCTTGTACATTATGTAATATTTGTTCTTGATAAAATGCATTATTTTTTTGTGATTTTAAACTGAATAAAATAAGTTTTCAAAAACTGAGCTTTCATAGTGTAAAAAGAACAGATTAAGGGTTAAACTTGTGTCTCTTACCTCGATTTATGGCTGCATCTGCATCTGCTTATGTTAAAAAAAGGCATTAAAAAAAGAGCTGAGAAGTTTCTAAATCAAATTCCTCATATAAATTGTGATCTTCGCGTATGTCCCCTGCTGATCTCATTATTGCTTGCTGAGGACTGAATGTTTTGTTTTTGAATTCTACGTGGTTATAAAATGTGGACCGCTTGTTTGTGTAAATGAAACATTATTTAATCACTTCAAAAAAAGGTGCGAATAAATTAACGAAATGTCATTCGCCTGAAATAAATAAGTGGGGTAGCCCTTGTTGGTCCTGAAACGTTCCGCATTCACAAGTTTTGAGCAGTTCATTATTGATTACACACCAGTCATCCTACAGAGTTAGCTAGTTAGTGTCAAGAAATAAAATATGAATTGAAAAACGGCTGTAGGATGACTGGCCTGCTTCTTTGAGAGATTTCTTTGAGGAAAAATGGCGAAACCCTGGGAACATGCGTATTGCAGCTCTTTCCAAGATCAACTAATAAGTGATCGATTCTATATTCCATAATTTCGCATAAAATAATAGTGAAGGAAAAAACAATGAGGAATACATAACTTCACGAAAAAGCAGACCCCAAAGACATTGAGAATTAAGCTGGAAACAAAATAAATCCAAGTGAGCTTGAGAAAACACAAATTTCTAAAGATAAATACAATTAGCTTGAAAAGTAAACCATGTGAAACATGAGGTCGTATCAATGAGAAAACCCCAAGTATGTACAGTAAGTAAAGGTTTGGTTAAAATCCTAAATACTTCGGTGCAGCGGTAAATGTACTGCTTCAGAACAAGGAGTATTAGGGTGGTGATACGCTATTAAACAAAAATAAAAAGATACAACAATCCTTTGATGTAATCAACAATTTCTTGGCCACCTAGTTTGGATTCGCCGTAAAAACGGTCAACGAACGAGATCGGCACTTCTCCTATGCGGTAATTCAATTTGCTTGCACGAAACATCATTTCCATCTGGAAAAGAAATGGGTACTATTGCTTAGAAATAATAACTTCGGTCGAGTCAGTATTTTTTCTGTCTTAAGCTTTAATCAAAAAAACCAGATTAAAGTTCACAGTTGTGAGAGCAACAGTTTAGAAAGTTTTGCGTTCTAATGAACGTAAAATTTAAACCTGGAACACATATCCCTTCGAAACGCTGTCAGCAATCAACCTCGCCAGAACATCCTTGCGATATAGACGAAAAGACCCAGTTAAATCAGAAACTCCCGGTCGAAGCAGAAACTAAAATAATGAAATAGATCATCCTATTGTAAAAGTGATTAATTCCTTTAAGAAATGAACCTGAGCTAAAAAGTTAGCACCACGACTGACGAGTTTTCGTCTGAGATTCCAACCCGAAACACCACCACCATTAGCATAACGTGTGCTCGTTACAATGTCGTACTGAAAACAGTAGGATAAAAAGAATTACGACCGATTACTGCTTTTACTGCTTCTATATCTCATTTAATTTTGCGTAATCTTTGTCATCATCCTGTTAAGTACTTAGAAAATACATTCAGCAATAAGCCTTCTTTCATCAATTCAAAAATGATTCTGTTATCCATCCGTATTTAAACTAATTAGAGAAGGTGGATTGGATATGAGCTAAAACCCAACATTTTTATGTTGTTGCAACTTGATCATTTCAGGAATGAATTTTGGATGATGTGATAGATCAGCATCCATCAAGATAACATAATCTCCTCGAGCAAATTGTAATCCGTGAGTGTAAGCAGTTCCAAGACCTAGAAATAGAGAAGGTGTGCTTCATTAAAGATCATACCGATTTTAATTAGTTTTTCATTTTTGGATTTCTCGAACATAAATATTTGAAAGAGATTTTATTGGGCATAAAACAATTAATACGCACTACGAAAATAATCTAAAACATACCTAATTTCCTTGCTCTAGGCCTTAAAATAATCTTGTCGCTGCCAAATTCATCTTCTAACTTTTTAGCCACATCCATTGTTCCGTCTGGGCTGCTGTCATCGATGATAATCACCTTTGAAAATTAGCAGTTTTAAAATTGGTGCAGTCAAACATTCTAAACCTGCAGAAAATAGAATTTTCTTATAAAATTAACGCAAGGAAAAATACCTCGTGAGAAAATCCGGTTTTTTTCATATATTTCTCGATTAGCCAAATACATACTGGTAAATTCTCCTTTTCGTTGTATGTTGGTAATAGAATTGTATACTTAGGATTGATTCCATCTTTCGACATTCGTGAATTTTGACGTAACTAAATGTTAATTTTAATTAATAATAATTTCAGCAAATTCAGGTAGGTCTGAACACAGTCCGATAAATAAGTTTCCGCATAATGAGGAAGTCCTGCAAAAATTAAAACTCCCACAACTCCTTTTTTTCATTAGTTCACTCTTACAATATTCCATCACTTTCATGACCAAATGCCATTCGGTTAAATTCGATAACCGTTTTTCTTGTTTTAACTTCGATTAAAGTTTCCTAATAAGTTTTTATAAATAACTGCTCGCTAATATTCTCTCCCCTAAACAAATTATTTTAAGTTTCTCAATAAAGCTTGAATAACATCGAAAGAGTTCATATTCAATTAGGAAGAAGAGAACGTGATATCAATAGCTCCAGGAAACAGCACTTGCTGTTTTTCAATCCTTTCAGGATAAGCCTTCGAAAATGGATGAGAATATAAAAAACTCTCTGGTATAACGATAAACAAGGAGATCAACTTCCACTATTCGAAATATGATTATTACGTCATTATATTCACAAATGAAGTTCGACATTTGGTTAAAGTCGCGAAAATATGCATGGATATGGTTGTTCCGGAGAGTAACTTGATAAAAATTAAACAAGCGATCTGTAGCAGCTGTGTTACTTATTCTTGCATTAAAATAAGGCAGGCAAAATTATGAAGCCCCTACTTATAAAAAATCAAAGTATTTCATAAAAACTTGGGAATACATATTCCGAATTATCATCGATGACGAAAGTCGGAATCCGGAGCATTTCCATAAATGCAATCATAATTATCGATTCTCTCAAAAAACCAAAAACGATCCGAAAAGATGGCAAGGAGAGTTAACGAAATTCTTATCAGTTCGTGCGAAAGCAACAAATGCAAAACGAGTTAGAAAAAACAGACTTTTAAGATCTTTTGAAAATGATAAAAACATGAAAAAATGAGAATAATTCTTTCGCAAGTAGGTAAAAAAACTGTGAAAAAACCAGTGAAAAAAGACATTTCCGAAATTCATAAAAAATTTTATTTGCAAGTGGCAATACTAAGCAAATAATTCAAATAACAACTGCTGCAAATAAGTATTTTTGGCAAGCTGAATACAAAGTACAGATGTGAAGCCAGTAATTTTTACAAAATTTGACGATTATTTTCTAGGAAAAGGTTCCTTAAGTTTGAAAACAAAATATTTATGTACACAACATATAAAGTCTCTGTCCTCAAATTAGAAGATTATATTGGCTCTGCGCGTACATAAAAAGTATCAAAACACAAGTTCGTATGTCACTTTTCCTAGTGCTCACTTCGATGTACGCTGGTAACGACCAGAAAAACAAGATTTTCATCAATATCTAGCAAAACAAAACACTGTATCTAATTTAACTTTTTTGAGCTCTTCCGCCATAAATCAATGTACTCGTCAGCATTAAATTTCACGGTTTCCTGTTTCTTCTGAAAATTAGACGCTTAATGTTAATGACATAAACTGGAAATAAAAATGATAATATAGTTTAAGAACTCGATTTTTTTACATAAAAAAAGTAAGAAAAAACATTAACAGTATTGCAAAAATGCTTTTGAGTGCTTCAGTCTCCCAGACATACGATCTTTGTGAAGTCATGAATATTTTCCAGTTCTCGAATTCAAAACATTAATAAACAAAGCTTGCAAAAAAAAAAAAAACCATCTAAGGGTTCCGCAGCTCGTATTGGGATCGTCGATCCGTAGGGTTGCTTCTCAAAGACTAGAAATAAAATCAAGATTTTTTTAAATTTTGGTGTTGGCTCACCGTAAGTTTCCTAGTTTTATGTCGTTTCATTTCTAAGTGCCGACGTTCTTCATCTGTTAAACTATCCAAATTAAAAGGCATTTGAATCAAATTTAAGGGTTCCGCAGCTCGTATTGGAACCGTCGACCCATCTGGTTGGAGCAGCTGAATAAAAGAAATAAGTTTGAAAAATCATGAATACCCCGACTTTCATTTATCAAATCATCAAATCAATAGATCCAGATAAGAATCCAACTTTAAGTGAATGAAAAATTCAAATATTCTATCAATAAATCGATGATGCACATAATAATTTAGTATTTCAGAACAAAAGGTAATCTTACAGTCACGTGATATTGTCGAATATATTTGGCACGTTTTATTCGAGAAATGGCTGCATAATGAGCACTGCAACGATCTGGAAATGAAGAAAATGAGAAAAATATATCAAAAAAGATGTGGAATTAATTTTGCACTGTAAAATAGTCAACAGATTCCTGTATGTAATAGAAACTAATAAGTAACAAAAGTAACAGCAAAAAGGTAAAATTTACCTGAACGATAGAAAGTTTTAACAGTAGAAAACAGAGAAGTCACTCGAATGAATGCCACATTCCTCAGTAACTCCAACATCTTAAATTAAACGGTCATTTTGATATAACTGTTTTACGAGAGGTATGAGAAGAGAACTCAGAAAAGACATTAACATGGATAGTTCAGGTAATGATACTTCACCTTACATTGAAAACTTGATATAGTGGTACCAAGTTGAGCTTTTAGTCAAAATAACGATATCCACCACTTAGTTCATTTCACAAATTCAGCTAAAATCGTCGCACACTAGTGAAACACAAACAACGCACCAAACTGTGCCACCAAAGCACACATAAGAAAGAAATACCAAATATTCAGAGAGCAAAAGAACGAAAGGAATTATGAAACAGTTAAAGCATTTATTGGTTGTTAATAAAAATTGTACCGAGCTATGGGCAGAGAATAGGAAAGGAATGAGAGATATGGTATAACTGAAAGAAAGACAGCTATAGATGGTTGAAAAATGAAGATAGGACTCAGAAAGGATGACGGACAAGTGAAAAGTCCCTGTTAAAGTGAATGAGAACAACAGACTACAATTGACCATCACACCTTGCATACAACTGATACCTTGTCATCCGGCAATGAATTATATGATAAATAATAGTGACACATGCTGTCCAGTAGTGTGGTAGTTATCATGTTTATTTTACACACAGAAGGTTCGAATCCGTTTTAGATCAACTTGACATTTGTTTAGAGGAAGTTTAATCTTTCCAAATACGTTCACAATTTTGACTATTTGAAATTGTTTCTCAGAACTTAAAACATTGTGACTATTCAAAAATTAGCTACTTTTTCAAAGTATTTCAATTAAAAAAAAAAGGATAATGATTAACATTGGCTTAATTGGACAGTATACATTGTATGTCCAGTAATAATACTGATAGATCATCATTCTAAGAGTGTTAGATATGCAGTGTTATCGGTGATTGTGCAAATTCAATGGAATATTTGAATTTCTTCATGAAAAAATTTTTTAATCAAAACAATTGTCTCCTGACTTTCGGCGTGTTGGGAAATGATTTTTTTTTTGATCATTTTCAACATTTAAGTTGAAAATATAGGAAGTTTCCTTAATTTGACGCACACGATAGACATATGCATACACAAACACACACACACACACACACACATACTCTCGTTCATTCCTTGATCTTCGATTTTACGATAATTATAGTAAGGAAAGAGTGTTCTTTATAATGTTCAATTTTTAAAATCAATCGAAATAAAAAATTGGTGATTCAATTCGATTTACTTAACAAATATGACAAAAATGTTCACCGAAGTAGATCTGAACTAAAATCTGAAGCTTCTGATCCGAAATCAGTTGCATTGCGTCTCATCACAGTCGAATATTGCTAATTTTACCTCAGTCTGATTCCAGCAAGGATAGAAAGTGGACGCGAACTTTCTCCTTGTGTCAGTAAACATGAGTCGCATGTGGCCGAGCATACACTTCTTGCGGTATAGTGATTTGTGGAGGCGCGGGGATTGGATGGATCTCGCGTTTAGTTGAGACCCATATCGGAGTTTTGTTGGCGTCGAAGTTCTTGTGACTTTCGTTATTTGTCTCTTTTCGACGACTTGTTAGAGATTAAAATTCTCCATAACTCCGGTTTTTAGTTTGTTTCTCTACTGCTTTGTTATGAAACAATCCACTATTTGAAGTTCCTAGTCTATTTGAATAATCATGTAACATTGATTTATATCTGTGGCAATTATTAATTGTTGATGTGATCACTGAAGAACTTATCTTTTCGTATTGAATAAATTAAATCAGGAGTATGGGTATAGAATGTTCATAGCTTTAATCATTTATATATATATATATATCAGTCCAAAATATATATCTTCAGAATTCTGCAGCTAGAGTGTCATAAACATTTATTTTGGGTAATAATATCGAATTTATTAGACGATGAATTCGCCGTTTTGCGTGTTTGAAATTTTATCATCTTTTACTATTGGAATTTTAGTGTTTGGAGCAAACAGTTCTTGAAATTTGAAACGCAATAGGCCAGGTCCGAAAGTGACAAAATCGTAATGTCACAATTTGGCCCGAAAAATCCAGCTGCTTGGGCTCGACCACCTGGTAATTTTTGTTATGTATACTCGATTCGACTAACTATTAATAAAGTTCTACTTTTAGACATAGAAGAATTTGTAATTTGCTAGATAGATGGTGAATACAGTATTAACACTTTTTTCTGCTTCTAGGAGTGTTATGTGCGGTAGAATTGTGTTATACTGTGATACCATCATTTATTGATTAATTCAATTCGTTTGTATAAAGTGAATCTTTTATGTATCTATAAGTAGTATTACTCTTGCCGTTTGGCATTAAAAGTTTGGTTTTTGGTACAGTTGTCGGAATTATATAGAAATTTTCGATCAATCATTCATATATGTTAGTTTAAAGCAAAAGTTCTTGTTTGTGAAACCAAAGTTTCGAACAGTAGTGTAACTTAGTTTTCGAGTAGTGTTATATTTTTAGTTTGAAATTAATATTGGTGATTAAATCATTGCAGGAGCAAATCAGCAACTAAATGCTGGTCTATTTCAAAACCCATTAATTGGTGCACAACCATTTGCACAGATGGGTATGATCAATGCTGCTGCTTTTTCTCAGCAAGCAGTAGGTAACATGGGCATGAATTTGGGTATGCTGCAGACACCATCACAAACAATTCGAATGCAAGCCCAGCAACAGGTAACTAGAATTTTGATATAATTACATTCGAATAAAAAGCTATCATGCAATACTTCAACGTTAATGTACTAATTGCAGTCCCCAAAATTCATGTTATCTTTGTTGACGGTTTTACTTCTTATAAGTACTCTGCCTTACTTTATTCCGAAGGTTGCGTATTTAGAAATAGAATTCTTTGATTTATATGTAACATAAGGCTGCGTTCATAATGTCGAATGTACGTCTAAAGGTTAGTTTTTATGAAAGTGTTTCAGTTCTTCGAACAAACTCTCCAAGGAAAAACAAAAGTGTTATACACTTTTAGCGTTATTACTTGGATAAAATGAGATCGGAATTTTAAAAATTTGAATATTCAGTACGTGATTTTCTTTGACGTTAATGAGAAAATAGGCTGTGATTATGGATGCGATATATTAAGGTTACTTTGAGAAATCTGCAAACATACTGTGCTGCCCAATGAATCCACCTAAAACACAACTAATGAATGAAACAAATTACTGATTAAGCTACACTAATCTTTTGTAGAGTGACTTAGCTTAATAACTAATCCGTGATGGGTGATTAAAAAGGATTCAACATGTCCTTTTTATTATTTGCATATTTTGGCGGTAATGCAGAACTTTCAGCAAAAGAACCGTACATTTTCGGGTGTGGTTACAAAAATGCATGACAATTATGGATTTATTGATGACGATGTTTTCTTCCAAGTAAGGTATGTGTGAATTAGATGTTTCTTCGTGACACTGAAGTTATTCATAATTCCTTATTTATGTAGTTATTTATGCAATAAAATTCAAGAAATGATTCGATATCGACAAAATATTGAAGTAACAGGCTTTGTTTACTTCGAGCATCCGCTGTTGTCAATCTATACTGTTAACTTGCAAAGTCCGCATTCATGCTCGTCTTCCTGATTATTCAAATAATAGAATAAGCAGATTTTTTCAAAAAAAAAAAATGAAAAGGAGTTTCTTCTTCGTTTTCAATAATTTTCGATACTGATTAAAAATCTTCAATACTGCAGTGAAGTTTTTAGTAATGTTCGTGGTGCTTTACCACGAACAGGTGATCGGGTTATGGTCGAAGCATCATACAATCCGACTATGCCGTTCAAATGGAATGCATATCGAGTCCAGTTAATTGGCGATAAAGGTGGTCCAGGTGGTGGTGGACCATCGGCTCATACACCTCCAGATCGCAGTCGACAACCGATGGCCAGCCGTGGAATGATACCTGGTGAACAAAGTTGGGCCGGGAAAACTCTTGAGAAGCCACAAACCGTTGCACATATAAATGACTCTCGTTCACGTGATTTTCGTGCATGTAATTTTTATATCCACTATTAAATGCATCGAAAGAGTTTTTAAAACTTCTCCTATTTTATAGATCTTTTGGGCTTGAAATTTAAATCTTCTTATCTCATATCGTAGTAGGGTTATATGAATATTGTGAATCTGTTATTAATTCATTAAAACGATTTTTTTGCATAGCTAAAAGTCAAAATTCTGTGTTTGTAGCGCCACGTTCCCGTTCACCGGTTGGAGCAGGCCGACATCGTTCTCCTCGAGGTGGACCTTGTGGTCCACCAGCACTAGTACAGGACATGAGGCGTTTGAGTCCGCCGAGACGTATTTCACCACCACGGGGTCTTGCACGACGATCACCTCGAAGGTTAAGTTTGTTTTTCAGTAGTGTTATGTAAATCGCTGAATATTCGGGAAGAAGCATAATAACATTTTTCGTTAAGAAATACGGTTGGGTATCAAAGCTGGTAGCTTCTGAACTCTTGAACTCAAATACACTTTTTTATAGGAGCCCACCTCGTGACTACGCGAAGGGCCCAATGGGTCGTATATCCCCAAAACATTCAACACCAGCACGAAAACATGAAGGGAAACGGGAGCACTCAGCCAGTATTTCGGGACGTAATCGATCTCCCTCACAAAAACATGATCCAAACACTCATGATAGTTTGTCACCTCCTCGTCGACGTGCGCGTATCATACTGCGTTATCAATGTTACATTCCAAAACCACCAATTTTGTAGGTTATTTTACAGATCTTTTACTTTGTTGGTTTTATTGTGCAGTTAGTGATAAAACTTTTAGACGTGAGTTTTAAAATCTTTTTTTTTGGTTTTGGTTTTGAGCTGTAATATATAATAATGAAGAAATGGAGCGAGGCAAACCGTGATGCAGCTGCGTAAACGTTATCCGTCACTCTACATTCCATCAGACTTTTGTGATGTCAGCATGGAATGGCCGAAAACGACACCTATCGAAAATCCGATATCGATTTCCACGGCACCTATCACTTATCATGTTTT